TCGAAATCATCGAATATAATACCATCAGTACGGACATCATCACTATATGGTAGTTGATTCATATACAGACAGGTGTGACTGTGAAGAGACTACCTCCTCAAGAGGAGAACGGACAGATGAGCTCACCGTTCGGATATGTGAGGGGCCAGACAAACGTACTTGGGCTTAACGTCGTTGCGGAAGCAGTAGCGAGCCAGCATATACTGAAGTAAGCCTAGCGACACGTATTTCAGCAGCAAAGATAGAGCACTACCACTCCCATGGCATCCATAGCCTTGATAAGACTACTCAGCGCCTTAGCAGCGTCCAGGTTGTTGGGCTCAGCCGCTACGCACTCAATGGACTCCCCTATCATCAACCTGAAATCAACCCACCACTGTACTTGCCATGCAGATGACCTCACTACTCCTCGGGAATCGTCTCCGATCGGGCAAAGCCAAGCATGGTGAGACACTTGTCCGAATGGTACTTCAACGAAGCCTCATCGTAGGGCTCGAACCGCACGAACTGCGTACCGTACTTGTATGCTTTCGCTCCTAAAATAACAGCAGCAGTTCACACTGATACGTGTTTCTGTCCTAGTACTCTCTTCAGCAGGTATGGCTTCTCCATCAGGGTCATCTACAGCGTAGTACACTCTATCCATCTTCACAGCTGCTGAAGTGTGAGTACCTCGAAACACCAAGTCCAACTGGGTACTTCTAAATCTACCATACTTTCCTTCTTTAGTGTTGGCAGCGTCACTTTACTAGTCTTGAGATAACACCATATAGGGATCTTCATATACTTCGTGAGTTCGAGGTCAACTCGACATTTGGATATCTGTTGCGTGTCTTTGCTCCTAACCTATCAGCAAACACATCAATCCGAGTCAATAGCTGCCAAGCACGACCTGTGTTAATAACTCGAATAGTGCTTCCTCCTGCAGATACTGTCCCTTCTCTGATCGAGCCGCTACCGACTCAAGTACAGCATGGACCTCAGGCAAAGGCGCTGAGAGGCATCATACACGAGGAACAGTCCACAGTGCC